TGCTGAGTACATTTACGCATACGTACAAACAAACACAGGCGACCTATCACAGCCTTTCTCATAAGTACACAAACACAGAGTCATAATTATGACGCATGGACATGGGTTTTGTCCATGCACAGTAATTAGGACACACACGAGATGCAGAAAATGCATGCCGCCGACACAACGCACACGCTCTCTCTCATTTGTGATTTTGTCAAATGTTGGCAATTCCAGCCGGGGCTTACAGCCTAAGTCTATCAGTGGTTGAGATTACAGACAGATTTATGTGATTCACAGTCTCCCCTGGGACCTGTGGCCTCGCATTGGTTAATCACCGCTTCACATTCACTCTCTCTGCCGCTCTTTTCACCGCATGGCTATAACTCTGCACCGATACGTTCTGATGTAACACCCGAGCTATTCATGCCACCGCACTCAAAAATCACACTCTCTGCATGGACCTCTTCCGTTCTGAGTCAACGTCTTTGACAGGGTTAAATCTCAATAATCCCACTAATCAAAAGGTTAAACCTCCCCCCCTGACCTTCACCTGCTTCATAAAAGAGAGCAAACACTTTTCCTCCTCTGATCATTGGGCTTTTTTTCACTGAATTATTGAGTCATCTTCTTGTTTAGCATGCACATTTTTTCTCCAGAATCAGCACAGAGAAAATGACAGTTAATAAACTGTACCAGGTTTTAGCAGATATTGCAAATGTACAGATAAAACTTTAAAGCCTTGAGGTGAAGAATTTTTTTATGAGATTATAGCTTTTTAATAATATTACTCTAAAGGTATATGTTGTTGTTTGTAGAAACCAGGGGAAAACTGCATCAGTAAAGCTAAAGCTATATTATTGTCAGATGGCAGATTTGCTGCATTATAGCTTTAGATTACTCTGTAAATTAGTGTCATCAGTAAGTGTTAGAGTATAGGTAGTACCTGTGTAGATGAAGCGTCCAGGTGTGCCTTTGCAGAACTGTTTGGATTTGTAGGACAGCGTGACCTCCACCACCCCGGGGATGTGTCTGGGTGGAGTCTGCACACGAATGGCATGGGGGGTGATCAGCTGCGGAGAGGCAGAGAGGGCAGAAAGATTAATGCAATGAAACTTCACATCCAAACATGCGCTCTGGGGACTATTCTCAGCTCGCCTCAGACCTTTCCTCTGCAGCTTTTGACTTTCTTTCTTTGTATAATCAGCCTGGAAAGGGTGCGTTAGCGCTAAAGCTCTCAGGTGGCTTCGTAGCCCAAGGCAATGTCACTGTGAGGCTTAGAATGGTTATCAGTGCTGACATGGACTCTGTAAGACGGGTTCAAAAGCAGTTATCTGTTTATGAATAAAACACACCTTCCCCTGCATACGTCTATTACAGAGTATAAGTAAACGTATAATATGCTTGTCTCTGCTGCCCCTGTCTCTGTGTCTGTCAGCTGAGGCTGTCTAGCTGCTGTTAGCCACATTAAAGCACCACTGTGTCTTAAACAGGCTCACTTAGTGTGGTTGATGAGACCACTCGCCACATACAGTACGTGTGCGTGCATGTTGAAGGGTCTTTGAAGGAAAATGGCAACAAGACAAAACACAGATGAGACCTCAATGAGTGCTCGTTTTCTGCACTGTATAGTGAACTAGCACTCAAAGCTAGCAGCGCTCAAAAGCTATCATTGCTGCTGCCAGTACCTTGAGTATGTGCACATGTGTGTATGTGTGTGTGTGTGTGTGTGTGTGTGTGTGTGTGTGTGTGTGTGTGTGTAGTTCTAACTGTCCCTTTCATTGCTCACTTAGCTAGGCTTTCATTCTACCATTGTCTGGCCCCACTCACCTCTCAGCGAGATAATATAGGAGCTTTTTATAGAATTATTTCTTTACTAAAGAGAAAGCTGTTTAGCTGCGCCGCTCACTGACCTTCAATTTCACACATACACTGCATTTACATTTTAGTCATGTGGCAGATGCTCCGTACAAAGAGATTCATACTGTACGGTGTGCACATATTCCAAGGAGGCAGATACAAACATAATAAAAGACAGGAAGAGAGCTGAGCAGAAGTAATAGCTGCCACAGAGAGAAATGAGAGAGCAGGCTGCTGTTCAGGTTGTAAAATATTTCTCACATGGGCTTATAAGGCTGCAATTAATTATTGCTTTCATTGTTAATTAATCTATGGATTATTATTTCAATTACCTCATTACAATTTTAGTTTATAAAATGTTAATAAATATGCGTATTGCAAGTTTCCAGAGGCTATGGTGGCATCTTTGCTTGTTTTGTCTGAACAGGTTCAACATCTCAAATGGATTGAATTCACAATGATGTAAAACACAATAAAGGTAACAATAACTTACAGATGAGTAGCTGGAACCAGCTATTGTTTAGCATTTTTGCTCTACTTGAAATTATAAACTTCTAAAAATTGTTCTTGCTAAACCATGTTGGACTAATCATTTTGGTACTGAGGTTTTTTTTTTTTGCTTTTTACTTGTGATATATTACACACTTTCACCAGATTTTATTTTTTCAAACAAAGCAATCTGAGAAGAAGAAAACACTCTTTGGTTTGTTCAAACTCTCTGACTTGTTATTACGGAGCCAAAAGCCAAAAGACGGTTGGGAACCGTTGCTTCACAGTCCAGTAGAAGGCCTCTCTTTAATATTTTAAACTAATGGTCAGGATGCACACATATGCACATGTTCCTTCAGGTGACCAGATGGTGACTAACCTCACTCCAGACCAGCATGGTTCCGAAGATGACCTGCAGGCCGTCAAAGAAGTTGTCCCCGATGATGATGACTGTAGCGCCCCCTGTGGTCCAGCCTTCACTGGGGCTGATGGCTTTGATGCTGGGGGTTGCTGCAAGATTCACAGACAAAATAGATTAGATGTTAACTGACCTAATGACAGCCCATAAAGGTCTTCGCTATTGGCACCATGTACAGTCCAATTTTCTTCTTTCACACACACACACTCACAGACACACACACATCACCTCTCTCCTCTCTCCCAAGGGTCGGGGCCGAGCGAGGAATACTAATCAGAGTGATTATACGCACCCCGTTATTAAACATCACCCCTGCCCTGTGTGTGAGGGCAGCGGCAGTGCGCTTGTTTTATGACACGTGGCAAAGCGTGCGGGCGTGTAAATGTCAGGTGTGCTGAGTGTCTGATCAAAGGCCACGCGACCGGGGAGCAGAGCAGAGCCAACAGTAGCTCTGCCCTCTGAATACGCCGCCTTCATTAAGCAAACACTTAGCTCTTGCTCAGCTGTCTGTTTCATATATCAGCGCCCAGCCACTGAGGACATGGCCACACAGGCTCAGCTCCTGCTTTGGTGTATTTGCAATATGTTTTGTTTTGTAAGCTCTCTGTGTTTTCTCTTAAAGCATATTCTTTATATCTTATCGGACAAAGTACATGGAATAACAACAGTAAACCACATTTTCAATAACTGGTATTCAATGTGCTTTTTGACCTTATCTGCTGGTATTATGGACTTGAAGATTACTGGATGTGATTGAAGAAAAGAACAGCATTGGGAAAATACATGTTTATACAAGCTAAATCTCCTCTCCTTAACAGATATGCAGCTTGTCAGACATGCTGTAATTCTGTAAAGCGGCATAATCCACTTTAGACTAGGCTGACTTTTTTCCCTGCAGCCTAGCCTTTGCTCTTTGCCTGACTCCCTGTTCTGTTGATCCTCCCCAACAAGCTGGAATGATATTTAGCCCCCCGATACGCCTGCAGAGATCAACGTTCACTGAGCAGCAATCTGTGGCCGTAATCATGGCCTAAGATGCCTCCTTTTCACAGCCGCTGATATTATGTGCGCTCCATGTGTATGTGTGGATGTGTGTGTGTGTGTGTGTCTGTGTGTGTGTGTGTGTGTGTGGATTAACCAGATGGTGGAACGTGAATCCATGTGATAGGATTATACTTTGGGGTGTTCCTCACTGCCATCTGTTCAACTCTATGCACTGCTCATCTATTACCGCCTGAAATGGGCCCCCAAAGTTGTGTATCCTGCACACAAACTCAACACACACTAGAAAGAGAAGGGGAGAGGGGGAAAAAAAAGAAAAAAAAGAAGAAACTTCTGTCTTCCTTCCTATCATTTCATCCTTTTTTTTACACCATCATACACTTTTACCCCTTCCTCTCATCGCGCCTACATCTCTCCAACCCCCCCTACCCCTATCTTGTTCTTTCGCTCCTGTTGTTCCTCCTTCTAACCCCCCCTCATCAGGAGAATAGAAAATCAGAGAAGAGGAAATTCCCAAACAAATCTCTCTGACACAGGGAACATCTGCTAGTGTACTGCGAGTGCTCTTCTTTCTGTGTAAGATCCAAGTCTCGCTGACGTCTCCAATATGTCTCGTCTTTGTGAACTTTTCTAATCGTCTGTGAGACCAGTCGCAGGGACAAGTGGTCCACCTACCTCTGGAGAATAGACATTAGAAAGACTTAACCATAACATTCAATCTTAATGCAATCTACTGTAGGCCATCATGTAAATCCCTTCTTAGTTTTTTGTCATTATCATCCCTGAGGTTGACTTTCCTCAAAGAAAAAAAATATGTTTCTCTTATTCAATGTCTGGGAAATCGAAATGAGAAAATAACTGGATTAGGGACTTGGGAATCAGTGCGGGCTCCTAAATCATGTGCACATGTCATTATGAAGTATTAAAGGTTTGGGTCTGACTGTGCATGCGGGGGTGTGTACGTGTGTGTGCATGGGCTTTTTTGTGTGCGTGCATGGGTGTGTTTGAAAACCTGAGGGATGGGGAGTGATGGAGGGCTGGCGGATAAAAGCAGGTCTCCGAGGAAATAAAGCCAGTGTTGGCTTTAAGCAGAACAGACCTCATAAGACACATAGTGCTTATGCGAGGCAGAGTAGAAGGCCCAGAGGCAGAGACCTGAGGGGAGCAAGCCACAAGGGAGAGACAAGAGACTCACTAGCTACCACTCTCTCCTCTCTAAGCGTGAGTTAGAAACCCTACAAGAGAGGAAAGTGAGAATCCGGGAGGAAGCAGGAGAGAGATAAGAAAGAAAGCAAGAGAGCAGGTTTGAGAGGGATAGAGTGGAGACAGAGAGGGGTTGAGTGCAGAGCCAGACGGGGGGGGGGGGAGGGGAGGGGGAGCTGAACAGACAGAAAGAAAGTGAGGTAGACAAAGAAAAGCTAGGACAGAGACAGAGTCTGGGTATTTTGTTCTTGCTTTTAATACCATGTTCCAGGTAGGACGGAGTTCCTTCCGAGGGGTCCAGCCTTCGAGCTCGGCGCCCGTGTTTGGAGTTGTTGTGCACGAACATGTTGTCGGACACGGCCAGGACGTGACCCTCCACGCTCACCGTAGTCGACACAACCACCTGAGAGAGTGAGAGACGGACAGGAAACCATGGAACTGAGAACGATCAAAACTATCAGCGACAATAAATCTCACGTTGATATAGGATCTCACTACAACGTGCGGCAGTGGTGTGTGCTGTTGTGCTAAGTTATGAACAGATTCTCTGTTGGTTCATCACTACAGGTGTCCCCTTTGTCATTTGATCCGTTATTATCATCGATTACAGCTGCTTTAAATAAGGGTAAATTAAATGTATTGATACTTTTTTTTCTTTTTGGAGCTAAAGTTCAATTTATTTTCATGCATAAATGTTCTAGAAGAAAACTTGTGGCATGTGTGTAACCTGGCTGCTCTGTTGCTTCCAGCGGTACAGTGCACTGTTGAGACCATGTCGGCTAGAGTGGGGTAGTTTGTAACTTTGTCAAAGCCCTTGGTTAAATGTTGTGGGGTGGATAGTCCAGGGGCAGGGAGGTTATGCTGTTGTCATGGTTGGTGCCTTGCAGTCCCATCAAGTTGTGGCATTTTCCACTTCAAAACAGTGGAAGAGTGCAGAGTTACGTCGGTCCATCACATCCTGTATGCATGCAGACAGCGGCGTCTCACCTGAAAACGCCTCATGTCTCGAGGGTTCCCTGCGTTCTTCAGGCAGTTCTGGTTACACTTCAGGAAGAACTTGAGGAAGAACCTGCATATGCATAAAGAGAGAGAAACAGAGAGAAAACAGATGAGCCACTGAGAGAACATCTGTCTGTCAACGAAAGCACAGTGTAAGCCACTTTAATAAAACACAAAACACAAATAAAACAAATAAAACAGCCGTGGCAGACAAGGCTCATACACCATCCCGCCCTCATCCATCAGTTGTTTATGACAAAGGCAGTTTTCTATGTAAAAACAGCTCCGGGATATTGAGTAAGATGCTACCTTGTATATCCATCTCTGAGCTGCTGTCACACCTTGCCATAAACTCACCGGGGCAGACGCAGCCGCCCCCCACCCCCCACACCCCAACCACACCCCCCCTCACCACCTCAGCTGCAGAGCCGTGTGACGGAGGTTGTGCTGTAGCTACTATGCAGCACAGTGTTGCCATTCCTGCTTCTCTCAATCTCAGTGTGAGAGACCACATCAACAGCACCTGCCATGCATTATTAATAGGCTGAGATGGCAAGTATGGCTACCCACATCAATACTTAATGAGGGAGGGAGGGTCGGAGGAGTAAAGGGGGGAGTGTGTGTGTGTGTGTGTGTGTGTGTGTGTGTATGGGGGGGGGGGCAACGGAGGCCTGAAAACCAGAAAGGGGACGTCTGACAATATATTCCCTAGCCCCACCCCAAGGCGGAAACCTGACAACTTCTTCTTTAACTGAAACTACAGCACTGTACATCCCTCCACTCTCCCTTCTGCATTGTCTGTCTCTCTGAAAAAAAAAAGAAAAAACTATATCAAATGAACCGCGAAAATAAACAGCGCCGTGTACGAATAAACAGGAACCCTCAAAAGGGGGAAAATAAAACTACAACATTTCCCGTCCCCCTCCTCCTCCTCCTCCTCCTCCTCCTCCCTTTGAGGTAGCTCAAAGAAGTGCTGACAGCTGAAACTGCTTACAATACAGATCTCCAGCAGCCAGAGAGAGAATCACTCCTTTGCTCAGCTTTTCTTTCATATGTCTTATTTTCTCCCCTCTGTTCATTTGTTATGGCGAGGATTCTGCACTGGGCAGCGCGTTTGGAGCCAACTGCCTTAGATATAATCATGCACGAGCGAACGTATGACACACACACACACACACACACACACATAGAGACATGTCAAGAGAAACACAGTAAGCAGCACCGTGCCTTGGACAATTGCTTCATCGAGAAGAAAAAAAAACAAGAGCGCAAAAGAAGATAAATGGACAGACCAGAGTTCTGGCTCATTTCAAGGGCCAGCCTACTGCTGTGCGCATTACAAGCATCTGATGTAACACAAGAACTCGTGAATTTATCCTTGACAACTTTTAAATGCATGACAGCTGGTTAGTGGTAGACGCACTTCTTCAACTAGAGAAGAAAAAGCCTCTTATGATCTGAATAACAAACTGTCTTTCTCTGGTGCTTTTTTTTTTTTTTTATTTCTTTCAGCTTTGTTTGTGTTCTGATTTACAATCTCGCCGACGCAAGACGCTAAATCTGAGTGAGAAGGGGTGAGAAGGGGAGGAAAGGCAAAAGGGGGGGGGGGAGGTAGAAAGTGATGGGAGAAGGTGATAGAAAGATAGACAGAAAGACGAGGTGGAGAGTATGTGGAATCTGAAAGGAGAGACAGACCACCCTCCTGTATATTTTAGAAGCTGTAGGCCAATATCTCAATAATTCATGAAGAAGAGAGATGGAGGTTTTTCTTTTCTTTTTTTTTCTTCTTTTTTTTTTTACAGTGGCTGTTGGACCCCACAGGCTGAGGGTCTCCCAACTTTCTTATCTCCTCGAGGTCAAAGAGCAACCTTGCAGACAGCTGTGGACTACATCCACTTGTCCAACATACTCCACCTTCCTCACTGCACCTCCTGTTTAATTCATCAACTCTGCTCTTTCCCCAGCTGTCCTTCTCCTTCTCCCTCTGAGGTATTCACGATGGACGGATGATGGATAAATGGAAGGAGGAAAGTTAGGGTCACCAGAGTCAGGGGTGACCAAATGAGAAGGTTAAATATTGGAGTTGGGAGAAGGAGACAGGAGGAGGGAAAAGTGAGACGGTGCTGAGATACTTGAGTGACCAAAAAAAAAAGAATAAGAGGAGAGAAAGTCAGCATGCCTCATTCGCTGTGCCATATGTCAGCGTGTCCCCTCGATCTCCTGCACGCGTGGATCACCTGATTCATTATTTACATGACTTAAGGTGTCTGGAGTCAGCCGCATGGAAACATTACAAAACTGCAGCATGTTGATTCCTTGGTGCTCTATCTCATCTCCCCGGGAGCTGGGGGACAGGAATCATTTCACACATTTACATGGCTCAACAGAGTGTGGGTGTTTGGTGGTGGTGGTGTGTGTGTGTGTGTGTGTGTGTGTGTGTGTGTGTGTGTGTGTGTATGTGTGTGTGTGTGTGGGGGGGGGGATAAAGAGCAGTGCGTGTTGATATGCAATAGCAAAGAGATTACCATAAGGATTTATGGATAATCTGATTGACAGCTGACCGGTAAATATGGACAGGAAGCTGACGATAGCCTGTAATTCTCTTATTTGGTAGGTTCAGTTCTCTGTTATCATGTTTACTTCACCCTTTTATCAATACAGAAGCAAATCTAATCTTTTTTTTTTGTCCGATACACCCCCACCTCCCTGTCAGAGGAGCTCTTTTAACTCTTTATGCACTACCTTGAGCTAAATATTTAAACCGTTTATCCTTTACTTTTCACTATTTTTACCTCTCACCTAACCTGCCAACTAGTTTTCATGCAACCTTAACGACAACATTTGGCTTCCAGTTTAGTGTGAGGTGTGTATTGGGCAGTGTACTGGTTATTGTGACAAAAAAAATTACTAAAAACCTGCAGCACACCAATTTGTAATCCTGTTTGGATGTCAATCATGATTTCCCCCCTAATTTATTCCCTAATTTTCTCCCTATTTGCTTCCGAAACATAAATATGTTGATATATACAGTATATATATCCTATATTAGCTACTCCACAGTCGTTTACCCCCTTGACACAGTGGTTGCAGTATAAGTACCCCTGGTAGGGAATCACTGATCTATCCACTGGCACAAATATTCGGCTCAATCCATCTTTTAAAGGGCAGAGCAGAAAATTCTGAACGAAATCAGAGATCATTTTTGTTGCCAGTGCAATATTTCATCGGTTCCCATTATGAGTTGATGACCGTATGATCGTTGTCGTAGCTACCACTGAGGACACCAAGGTGAAGTCGGTATATCATCTGGTAGTTTAGGGATTTTGACATCCTAAAGACCAATTGTTTACATTCTACAGTTGCATATATAAAGCCACAATCTTTTTAAGGCTGATTGTGGCTTTTTTTTGTTACTTTTTCAACAATGTGAGTATGTGAAACAGCCCTTCCATCATTATGCAGATTAGGAGATAAAATGTACAGATATAGATTGTTGAGAGTTAAATTAATGAGTTAAATGTGAAAGAAACAGCTAAGAGGCCGTTTTGTGTTTATTCACACATTTATCTGTTGAGCGTTTAGACTCCTCACCTCAAGGATTTTTAATTTTCCTGGCTCAAAACCTGCATGTGGTCTTTCAAAATACAGATAATGATACAAAAATCTAAGTGTATCTCATCTCCAAGCATCAATTTTCAGTCAATAGACAATATTACCTCCTGCATTGATTCTTGCTTTGATTATTGCCTCCTCTACCTTTTTTGTATTTGAGTCTCTCGCTGGTTTCAAGCTGTTTTACTGTGCAGACTCTGCGGCTACAAATATTACCAGTGCAAATTGCTGCACCGACCGGATTAAATGAAATAAAACCATTTCGCTCTCACGTAATTACCCCCAAATCCAGGAATGGCTGTGGAAGTGAATTTGTGTAAATAACTGCTTGGCCTCTTGAAGCCTCATGGCATAAATTTGCAACAGCGAAAACGAAGAAATAAACACATGCAGCCGGTCGCCGTAGTAATTTAATGATCTCACACTTTCATCATATCGTAACGGGCATTATTTGTCACTTTGGAGCAATTAAACACAAAATCACCCCCTGCCCATAAAAAACAAAACAAGGAAAGCAATTATAACACAACTTTTAAGTAATCCCTGTAGCATCTAAATATTATTACTGTAGTGATAAAGATTGTCTAAGCGATTAGCTAACAGCATGGAAGCCTCCGAGGGACAATTCTGTTATATTTTCTAATAATTTTCCTACATTAGCCACAAATGAGGTAAAGAGTTGTTTTCCTTGTCAAATTTAACATGGATAACTTTAGAACTGTGCGGTTTTATCGTCCTCAGTGGTTCTAGTTTATTCATCTTTTCAGCCTTTTGTTACACACTGCGCTATACATCTTTGTGCCTCATTTCTTTATTCTTTGCCCCTCCTCTTTCTGCTCTCTCTGTTTTGTTCTGATGCCGACACGCTGTAAAAATGGCTGTGGGTGATGCCATAACTCAGCCTTCCCCTCTCCCTCTCCCTCCATCCATTCCTGCCGTACAGATCATCTCAGGAAGAAAAGCACTGTGTCTGGCTCCTAATATGCTTCATGAGGTGTGTAATTCACTGTGCTCCAGAGGGGAGCCATTTGTCTCGGGGGTTAACTAAGTGACACAACAGCACTTCCCCATGCCTGTTACCACCGTGGGACATGCTGAACTAATCTAGGCAGGTAGAAGGATGGAGGATCCTGCACTTTAGCAATTAAGCATTAAGATTTGTTCGGGAAATCGATCCTAATGAAGTCAGAGACAAGTTCAAATTAAGTGTAAATATTTGTAAGCAAATATAATGTTACAGCACACAAAAAGGAGTGATAAATAGGAGGCTAAACTAAAAGTGAAGTCTGGCTTTCTCAGAGAATCAAATATCTTCCTCAAACCCTGTTTTGTGTATTTTCTTTTCCTCCCCTTGTGTTTCATTTCTCGTTTTCTTCCTCCTCTCTGCAACTCTTTCTTTCACTTTTTCCGCCATGCATCACTGACACTTCAACCAGGAGCCTGACTGGCTTGTTTTCG